CTTATCCATTCTAGTCGCTAGCTTCTCCAATGCTAATGTCTGCTTATCCATGCTAGTCGCTAGCCTCTCCAATGCTAACTTCTGCTTATCCATTCTAGTCCCTAGCTTCTCCAATGCTAATGTCAGCTTATCCATTCTAGTCACTAGCTTCTCCGATGCTAAAGCCTGCTTATCCATGCTAGTTGCTAGCCTCTACGATGCTAATGCCTGCTTATCCATGCTAGACACTAGCCTCTCCATTGCTAATGTCAGCTTATCCATGCTAGTCGCTAGCCTCTTCAATGCTAATGTCAGCTTATCCATGCTAATCGCTAGCCTCTCCAATGCTAACTTCTGCTTATCCATGCTAGTCGCTAACTTCTCCATTGCTAATGTCATCTTATCAATTCCAGTCACTAGCTTCTCCAATGCTAATGTCGGCTTATCCATGCTAGTCGCTAGCTTCTCCAATGTTAACTTCTGCTTATCCATGCTAGTCGCCAGCCTCTCCAGTGCTAATGTCATCTTATCCATTCTAGTCGCCAGCCTCTCCAATGCTAATGCCAACTTATCCATGGTAGTGGCTACCCTCTTTACTGCTAAAACAAATGTATAGTCTCCTTCTCATTTGCCTGGCCTATCATTAATCAGATCAATAGCTGTTTTAGGAATAGACATAGCCTCTTGCTACAAGGATGTAGCAGCCACTGGGTGTGTAATCATCTTAATTTTGGCCTTCATACTGCGCCATAGAGCACAAACACACAACGATGACAGCTTCCTAATTATCAACAGATGAGGAGAAACATTCACAGAGGTCATGCAAAGTTGTCTCTCCCAGAGCTGTGGGAGCTCCTGCACACAACTCCATGCTTCACCTCTGTCACAATATTTGTTTTTCTGTTCAGGAGCAGCGGCGGATCTTGGAGCAGGGGATCACCGGACCTGAAGGACACGTGTTGAGCCATCCTGAGGAGGTGAGGTGAAGAGGAAGTGGTTTATCTGTAGAAACGTTTCACTTCAACCAGTTACAGCTCCGAACGAAAGGGAAGACTTTTCTTTAAAGCTGTTAAAAATCATCTTCTGATGGGTTATTTTTTTACAAAATGGATGAAAATGTTTCTATTTTTGATGTGATAACAATAAGAGCTCCTCCTTTTACATAGATATCTAACTTATGATGCCAAAACAAAGGATTGGATTTTTCATCAGGACATCTGGTAGAAAAATAACACATTGTGTTTTGAGTTAAAACCTGTTTTTCTTCTAAAACCTTCCCCTCTTTTCTTTTATCTCATTCTTTGAGCTGTGTTACTCAGGGCCCAAAGGGAGGAAGCAGAAAAAGTCACCTCATTAAACTTTTGGTTGCTCAGATCTTGCTGAGATTAATGATGTTATTTTTAATGTTTTAATCTAAAAGGTGAAGAAAACCATCTGGTTAAACAAAGAAAAACAAAACATACAAAAGGAACATGAGTTAAAGAAGCCAGAATGTTATTTTTTTCTTTCTGAAAAAGTTTCTAAAGTGTTTCACCTTGTGTTTTGTTGCTATGGATGGAGAACAAATTCAAAAGCAGTAAATAATGAATAAAAGTGTGTTTTTACTTTATTTGTGGAAATACACACTTCTGTAGAGATTTGTTTTTTTCTTGACTCATAGGCTCCTTTTGAAGACCAGCAACCGGATTTTTCACAAGCAAATCATGTTTTGAACATAAACATTTTCAGATTTTGATATTTTTGTATATATATATTGATATCAGGTTTTGATATTTTTAATTATTCCAGGATTTTTCTAAAAAATACTTATTTAAAGCTAATTTTATGACGTACTTTGGGTTTACAGTAGTAGTTACTAATGTTTCTAAATAAACCCTGTTACCCCAAGTTAATGCATATGTTTTGAAGGAGAGTTCTGTAGAAAGCTGATGATCAAAATATATCTTAGTGGTTGTAGATAGTTTTTTTGAATTACCTCTATTGGTAGAATTTGTTTATTTCTGCCTAAATTGAGTGTTTTTGTTCACTTACATCTGTTAATTTAATTAGAAAAGCCTAGAAGTATATTTTTCTGCAATACATAAAAATCTCTGTTTTTGGTATTTAATCATGAGTACACAGACTTTCTATCCTGAGCATAAGTATAGAAACATAGTTGGTTAGAAGCGCTTGACATAGTTTACCCCGTAGGTAAAAAAAATATAAAGGTTGGATTTTTAGTTAAATTCCTTCATAAAACTTTGTTCACCAGGTGGAGGCGGAAGCTGTTAACCGTGCCGTGACCGTAGCCAATCAGACTAACTGTCCGCTCTACGTTACCAAGGTGATGAGCAAGAGCGCTGCTGACATCATCGCTCAGGCGAGGAAGAAGGGTGAGATGATTAAACATAATGTTTTGAGTTTTTACATTTCCCGTGTGACTCAGAAGTTCTAGTCAGGTTTGTTTCCATGTCGTGTTTTTGGTCTCTTCTTGATCTAACTCTGGTCAGGTTTCGGTTCTCGACTTCATTTCTTTCTGTTTTACTGGTAGAATGTTGCCAGTTTTGTTGGTATTTATGAATCGGACCGTCAGCATTGCTCATGGAGTTCCGCAAGGATCAATCCTCAGTCCATTTTTGTTTCATTTGAATTAGCGTCTACCAGTTTTTTTTATTTTGTTAGACAGAACAACATTTCTCTTCTATGCTGATGATACACAGTTATATTTATAGTTTCTGCCAAGCCAACTGAAACATTTAACTGTTTAAAATCAAATACTGCTTGTCAGGGAACTTATTATTTATGAATCGGACCATCAGCGTTGCTCATGGAGTTCCACAAGGATCAATCCTCAGTCCATTTTTGTTCAATTTGTATTAGTGTCCACCTGTTCTTCTTTATTAGGCAAAACAACATTTCTCTTCTATGCTGACGATACACATTTGTATTTATAGTTTCTGTCAAGCCAACTGAAACTTTTAACTGTTTAAAATCAAACAMTGCTCGTCAGAGAACTTCTAAATCGTGAATTTTTTTGCCAGATCCTGAGCCTTTGGAAAAATAAACGTATTATTTTATTGATTCATCTGCTTGTATCAATCATCATTCAATTGAACCGTACATATGAAATGATTGAAATGCACTTTCTGCATTGCTACCTCTTCTGTCGATGAATGTCTCATTGATTACAGTCCAGAAGAACCATTTAGTTTGAGAATAAAGTTCTCCTTGTCAAACTAAAAATAAATGTTTAATGATCATTACGATCCGACTCTAATGGACTTACAGGTACTGTGGTCTACGGAGAGCCCATCACTGCTAGCCTGGGAACAGACGGTTCTCACTACTGGAGCAAGAACTGGGCCAAAGCAGCGGCTTACGTCACTTCCCCTCCCCTGAGTCCTGACCCGACCACACCGGACTATCTCAACTCCCTGCTGTCTTGGTAAAAGTTTGATCCAAACCCAAAACGTTTGTCTGAGGAGCTCAAGTGAAACGTCTACGTTTTGATGTTCGCTCCTCCCTTTACAGTGGTGACCTGCAGGTGACAGGAAGTGCGCACTGTCCCTTTAATACCGCCCAGCGTGCCGTGGGGAAAGACGACTTCACTTTAATCCCCGAGGGGGTCAACGGCACCGAGGAGAGGATGTCTATCATCTGGGACAAATGTGTGGTACGTATTTATGCAGGTAAAAAAGGCGGGAGAAGACCGTCATCAACACTCACTCAGCTCCGACTCGCTCCAGGTGACGGGTAAGATGGACGAAAACCAGTTTGTGGCCGTGACCAGCACCAACGCCGCCAAGATTTTCAACCTGTACCCCCGCAAGGGCCGTATCGCCGTGGGTTCGGACGCGGACCTGGTCCTCTGGGACCCGGACATCACAAAGATCATTTCTGCCAAGAGCCACAACTCGGTACGATCCTTTAATCTGATTGTGAACTTGAGGTGAATTCTTTAAGAATGTCCGTCTGAGTGGCTTGTTAGTTGGGATGACTTCTGGACAGGGTGTGGGCCTCTCGCAGTCTCAAGGGGCGATGTCATTCACAAAAGCTGCCAGTGAACGGAAACATATCGTCTGATTGTTAGCAGACCAGTCATCTGCTTATTTATTCCTGTGTACGTTCATTTTGAGTGTTGTGAATAGGTAGCCTACTTACCTTTGTCTTATTCTTACTCTTACCTTTAAGTTTGGAGCTGGCCCGGTCCTTTTCTGTTTTTTAATTTTGGTTTCTTGTTTTTCATTCTATGGGAGAAATGTGCTCATTTCGAATGTGCGTGTGTTTACATGTGAGTCATGGGATAGCTTAGCAAACCGGTGATCTCATGTTGCGTTATAGTTTGCCAGATTGCCGTGACCTCAGCTTTAGCTTCAGTAGCTTTTCAGAGAAAACAGCTAAAACTGGTCACAAACCAAAAAAAGGAGAAGGAAAAAAAAAACACCCAAACTACTTTAATAAACCAATCATCCTCATCTTTTGGCATGAAAATTGACGACCCATCAGCTCATCTCTACTCCCTTTGACACAGTTAGCTTTTTTATTAGATTTCGAGCATTGGGGACTCTTTGAAAAAGCTTTTACAAGTAGCTTTACCCCCACTTATTCTGGTTATTTTACATGATACAGTCCATGCTCAAGTCCAACAATGTTCCACTGCTGTTTTTCAGATAATACATGAGCCAGAGTTCACAAATCTGGTCTTACATCACCCTGGTGATCCATCATGAGCATGTGAACCACTGTATCCCTTTGAAGCTACTTTTTTATGGTTCCACTGTCAGTGAGTTGATTCTGGTCTTAGGAGGGAGAAGCAGCTGTAATAAAACATCACAGAAGCATAAAAAACATCAAACAGGAAGTCTACATCCTAAAGCAGAGACTGCAGATCAGTTTTAGAAACAGGAGTCTTGTGGGAAGATCTGATCTGTCTTAGTTTGACATCACTACGTCTCCTCTTCTCCGCAGACTGTGGAGTACAACATCTTTGAGGGCTTGGAGGTCCGTGGAGGTCCCCTCGTGGTTATCAGCCAGGGGAAGATCGTCTTGGAGGAGGGGACCCTCCATGTCACTGAGGGCTCGGGACGTTTTGTGGCTCGAAAGCCTTTCCCTGATTACGTCTACAAGAGGATAAAAGCTCGCAGCAGGGTAGAGTTTCACCTTCACTGTTGAGACATGTGGTGATGTAGTGTGTAGCCTGACTGTACTCATCCATCATTGGTCCAACCATCCATCTGTTCATCCATCCATCCATTCAGCCATCTGTCCGTCCATCCATCCGTTCATCCATCCATCCATCTGTTTATCCAACCACTAAGTTGAAACAGAAATTATACGTTTATTCAAAAATTAGATCCAATCTGACGAAACAGAAATTATACGTTTATTCAAAAATTAGATCCAATCTAACATCTTCTGTTTCAAATATCTATCTTCATGCCATTATACTCTCAACCATGTCGTACTGTTTACCTGTTCGGTCTCTTACAACAAATGAAATCTTAGAACCCATAGTTAGGCTCTACAACAGGGCCTACAAAATTCATAAAAAACTTCCTGGTTGGACTCATCACTGTACAGTTCTTTCATTGTCTGATGCCTTGACTTTTCAGAATTATGTTTTGTATAGTGGTATTAATTTATATTTTCAGATCTTCCAAGGTGCCAATTATGGAACTCTCTGTGCATTGCTGCCCAAATCAAATTCTGGAAGTGGTCATTCAACTAGATCTGTTACAAAAGGACAACTGATATTACCAACTTTAAAAAACTGTTACGGCCAGAGGTCTTTCTTCTATGTTTATACCAAAGCATGGAATGACATTCCTCAAAACATAAAGTCCATTTCTAAACTACAGCCCTTTAAGAACAATCTTGTCTGCCATCTACTGGACACTTTCTGTTGTGCTCATATTTAGTCGTCCTATTTTGCAAATGCTGCCTTTTTGAAATTTGGTATGCTTGTTTGTCTTTGTGTCTATAGTGTAATAATAATGATGTGATTGTGATGCTGTAATTCTGAGTGTTTTATGTGCTGCAGAACAGGAACCTGCTGTAAAAATCAAGCCTGACTCAGCATAATTGGTGTTTTACCTGCWGTAAAACACCAATTACACCAATTATGCTGAGTCAGGCTTGATTTTTAATAATCTTTTCCTGTTAAATAAATCAAATCAAAATTATCCATCCGTCCATCCATCTGTTCATCCATCCATCATTGGTCCGTCCATCCACTCATCCACCCATCCATCCTTCCATCCATCCATCATTGGTCCATTCATCCACTCATCTATCCAGCCACTCATCCATCCATCCATCCATCCATCTGTTCATCCATCCATCCATCCATCCATCCATCCATCTGTTCATCCATCCATCCATCTGTTCATCCATCCATCCATCCATCCATCCATCCATCCATCCATCCATCCATCCATCTATCCGTCCATCTATCCATCCATCCATCCATCCATCCTCTTTAACTGTTAGACCCACCTCTTGCGGTCTCATGTGAGAGGCAGAGGACACCCTGGACATGTCTCCAGTCTATTGTAGGGTCACATAAAGACAATCATTCACACTTTCTCTTACACTGAGGAACAACTTTATCATTTAGTCTAAAACACATGTTTTGGTCAGGAAACCAGAGTTTGGTCAGGAAATCAGAATACTTAGAGAAAACCCACATGTGCACAAAGAGAAAACACAAACTCCACCCAGAACGGCCCCAGGTCAGGAGGCAAACCTGCAGCTTCCTCACTGAGACTGAACAGCTCTAACCAGTGTGTCACAAAGTGTTGAACTTCAGATTGATAGTTCAAACCTGCTGCGTCTCATTTCCCACAATGCAGCTGGCCGAGCTGAGGGGCGTACCCCGGGGGCTGTACGATGGGCCGGTCTGCGAGGTGTCYGTCACTCCTAAAGCCATGACTCCCGCTTCCTCTGCCAAGACCTCACCTGCCAAACAACCCAACCAGCCTGTCCGCAACCTGCACCAGTCTGGTTTCAGCCTGTCTGGTCAGTCTCACCCTGAAACTCAAAAGAATGAAGTTAAAAACTGTTACAGTTTTTCTGTTCCGTCGCTGAACTCCTCTTTCCTTTTCTCTCGCACAGGTGCTCAGGTCGACGACAACGTTCCCCGCAGGAACACCCAGCGCATCGTGGCTCCTCCGGGCGGCCGGGCCAACATCACCAGCCTGGGTTAGAGCTCCGCCCCCCTGTTTCCAACCTGCTGAGGAGGAAAGGCACGAATCAAAGGATGGCGTTCAGCAGCCGAGCAGGTCGACAGGAAACGCCACAACATCCGGGGCGAATCGAAGCCTTTTCTTCAGGCTCCAGCTTTTGGTCGAACACTTCCTCCTTTGCAGTTTTTCCCTCACATCCCTCCAAACCCGACTCCTATTGGACACAACTAGAAACAAAACAAACAAACAAACAATAAGTTCTGCCTCATGATGGGAAAAAAAGAGAAACATAACACCGCTTTTTGTGCACTTTTAATTGAATATTTGTTTGGTTTTATTGGACTTGTTTTATTTGTCTTTTGATGTTTGCTGTTGTTTTTATTGAGGGTTCAGGCGAGTCTAAAATTATTTACACAGCTAAAGGGATAGTTCARATGYTTTGAAGTAGGGTTTTATGGAAAAGTTATAAATAATTATTTCAATTACCTGCTCTAAACAGCTTTTTATATGAAGAAACTGGRTTTATTTTAGATTTAGTGACCAGTCGGGTCAGAATAAATTTTATTTCTCCAAAAAGAGGTTGTTCAGAGAGTTATCTAAAACAGGTAAGATACTACCGTTTCATATAACCCCACTTTAAAAAAAATCTGAGCTGTCTTTTTAGGAGAATAAGACGGTGTTTATGAAGAATGTTTTAATGTATTTTTTGGGTACAAATTATGTGATTTTTTTTCTTATTCTTTTGTTTTAAAAAAGCCAAGTGCAAACTTGTTTAATAATTAAAATAGTCTTATAATTTAGCAGTCAGGTCAATAATCCTTTGACTTGGCTGCATTTTTACTGTTTCTAATCAGTATTTGATGAGTTCCTGCTGCCTTAAGAGTTGAAATGTTTCAAACAATCCCTCATTATGATTTGAGCTCTTAAGGTGGGAAAGTCCTGAGTCTGGTGGAGAACTTTAGGAAACCGCGGGAGCTTCGGCAGCTTCGTTTTTTTTTTTTTTCAGTTTTAGCTCATAAAAAAGTAGCAGAACTTGTCATGTTTGCTGACAGCACGGTCAAACTGAGCCTTTCCTTGCCTTAATGTCCGTTCTTGTTCTTTCACGAGTGCAGGGAAGGTGCCATTCACTACTCAGCTGCTGTTTTTTTTTATTTTAATTTTATTWTTTTTTTGTTTAACTTGCATTCCTGAATCAAAAAGGTCCAGATTTCTCGACTGACAGCTGCAGAAGCGTCCGACATCCGTCCGTTCGCAAACCCAACGCGACCGCTTCGTTCCCGTCGGGGACCCCCTCCTTTCCTACTCTTTATGTGCCTGAACCCACAGAAGTTGTATCGATAGTCTGATTTGTTTTCTTCCTTTTGTTTTCTTTTTTTTTAATTTTTTATTGTATTTTTCGGAGGTAACTGAAGGATGTAAGATAAAAAAAAGATGTAAAATAGCCAGGATAAACCGATTCAAAGGTGCCAGATTTTTGTGCTTTCACAAGGCCTCATCAGGAGATAGAGCCTCAGTAAAGCTGAAAAAAAAAAGCTTGATAGCTTGAAATGTACTTTATGTTTTAGAGTTTTTACCTTGTTGTCRAACTGCTTTTTAGTGTTATTCTGTAACTATATAGGTGCCTGAAGGCTGAGCACTATGATTTCTGCTTGAAAGTAGACCTGATCTAATCTTAGTATTTAACTTGTGTGGTGTTGATGTGAGAGGGATGGGACAGCAGACTGGTTTATACTAAAAAAAACTGAGTTTTTATTGTTTTTAACACATTTCAGCTTCTGTTAAAGAGACTTTCTGGGTTTTAAGTTCACTTTTTCCCTCCAAGACTCAAACCTGAAGCCAAATCTTTACCGTTTTACCAACTTTTTTTGTATTTGACCCTTAAAATTGTTCACATTTCTACCTGCAGACATGAAACATAGGTGAAATCTGTCATTGTTACAAATGTTTTTATGTATTTAAATAATCCGAAGCGAGGATAATGTAGCAAACTGAACAAAAAGTTCATGTTTCAGCTGCTGTTTTTGTTTATTTTTTATCTTATTTATCCAAGTTGGCATCAGTTTAATTGTTTTAAAGACATATTTTATGTTCAAGTTAGTCTTTTTTTTTTTTTTTTTTTTGAAGCGGTTTCACTTTTCATCCAAGGAGCTTAAAGTGCCTGTGACATGCCTCTCCATCGAATACAAGAAGTCAAAGAAAACACATTTTTATGTAAGAAACTTYGCATTAAACATGCGATTTTACCCATTTTGTCACATAAATGACATATTTTGTTTTGSACTTGGCTCGGCCAAAGTGTAACAGGAAGTGACATCATGGGGAACTTTTTAAGAAAGAAAACTCTGGTCTTTGTTTCTCTCTTTGACAGTGACAAATTAATCTAAAGAAACATCAGATTCTTCTCAACAATCTGTGTCGTTAGCTGTTTTATCAATGATTTGTTCCACGCAGATGTTCCCCTTTGACATCACTTCCTGTTCCYTCACATGCAAATATCTCWAYAACKGTTCATCTCAGCAGCGAGATATTATTTTTGCAATATGCTATTAATGTTGTCTTTCTAATAATGCTTTTATATTTATTTTTAAAATGTCATGTCACAGACACTTTACTGCAGTCAAACTTGAAAAGAAGCTAGTTTTGGAGCTGTGAGCCTTAAAACTGCACCCAAATCACGCTGCCTCCTGACGTTTCAACTCGTTCAGGAAAGTGTTTAATTGAATTCCCAGTCGTGTAAATGTTCATTCATGAAACACAAATCACCAAACGTGAGTTAACGAATGCTTACATTTAAAAATAAATCAGAAAAAAGCTCCATAAATTGACCAAACAAAGAGCCTAATGACCCTCAGGAGGGAGGGGAGAGTTGGTTTTAAAGCATCGGTTAGAACTGATGAAGGCGACTCGGCTGAGAAGTAAAACTCTCAAAAAAAAAAAAAAAGAAATTATTTGTCTTTAAAAACAACTAAATCCTCTGGGTGTTGGAGTCCCGGCTGAGTCTGCCCCCCCTGCCCGTGTTGGATTATCTTGGAGGGAAAAAGAGGCTTGAGGTCCACCGTCTCTAACGCAGTTTGGCAGCGAGTCGCTCCTCTTTTTCTTCCTTTTCTTTGCTTGTTTCTGGCTGTTGCCTTGGCAATGAACCACTCTTGCTTTTTTTTTTAAATATATTTTTTCCCTGTTTGTCATGGCAACACTCGTTAGACGGTTAGGTTGCCATTAACAACTGGTCTCGACTCTTAAGCTATGACAAAAATCCCATTTCCCTTTCTCTTTTTATTATTCTGTTACGGTGCAGCGACACAGTCCTCCTTTAAAAATKGGATTTGATAAAACTCAGTCTCCAGGTGATGTTAGAAAATAAACACGGTCAGGCTGTGAGTCCCAYGCCCCCCGGTCGACACACACTTCCCCCCTCCCTTGATGCTCTTGTCGGCTTGGATGCTTTTTCTACACCATATTATGCTAACAATATAAGAGTGACGTGTACGTACACAACACTGCAGACTGACAGGTTCTTCCTGCTGTTCTGAGGCTGTTGATGCTGTTGAACACCCTCCCCCCACCACCACACACCCCCACCCCTCCTCTCTGTGAGCTTTTTCCCTTTTGTGAAAGTGAAACTGTGTGATGGTGTTTGTCTCGGTGGCTGTGGGGTTTCTGGGATGCTTGCTTGCTATAAAAAAAATAAAAACTGTAAGATTTCATGAATGGTGATGTAAAAATAAACAAGGACTTCAAGTGATAAAATAAATAATTAAAAAATGGACATGCACACTGTTGTGATTGAAGTTACACACACTAAAAACTGCTGGGTTGTTTTGATGATWCGGTGATCGGGTCGTTCGTCACAAGTTTTAGACCTGAGCGGACCTCTGCTTTACGATGTAATAAATAAAGGTAAGATGGTTGAAACAACCTATAAGAATACATTTAAACAGGCTGGATTTATCAACAACCATACATTTGCACCAAACAGTTCGGTTTCCTATAAAAGCATTAGTTGGCTAGCTGATGCTAATAGAAGTTAGCGCCAGCTAGCCAGCACCAAATCAAGTTGTTTTTCTTTTTYTTTTATTTTTTTTTACCGCATCTCATTTGTAGCTAGAGCGGCAATCTTTTGCATATAATTATTTTCCATGGTTTTCTCATAAGAACATATTCATGAGAAAACTATAGAAAAAAAATTATATGCTGAAAATGGCCGCTCTCGGCGTCCATAAGCAGCTGTAGTTCAACAAATTGGTGATTTTGATCCAAGTTTTATGTAGAAAACTTAACCCAGTATGTTTAAAACATTGTTCTCTTTTAAATCTGCTTCCACGTAATCTTTGCTACTTTTAGCTTTTATTTACTGTTGCTGTTAGCCAGCCTTTTGCTACATTTAGCCTGTAGCTACTTTTAACTTTTTTTTGTTCCTTTTAGTTTTTAGCCATTATGTTTGATTCTTTGTCTTTTAACAAGCTTCCTACTTGTTGCATTAAGCCAGCCTTTTGTTACATTTAGCAACCCTTTTAGCTTTTCWACATTTTTTCCTGCTTTTAGCTTTATGCAAGTATTTTGCCTGTTTTAGCTTTTCTGCTTGTTCAACTTTTCGCAAGCCTTCGGCTAATTTTTGGTTTTAGCCAGCTTTTTCATGTTTAGCCAGCCTTTTACTAGCTTTTGGCAATGCTTTTATGCTTTTAGATTTATGTCAGCAGTTTCACACTTTTAGCTTTTAGCCAGTATTTTTCTTCTTTAAACATTTAGCCACTTTTAACTTTAAGCCAGAATTTTTCAAGTTTTAGGTTTTTGCCTGTATTTTCCCTATTTAACTATTAACAAGCCTACTTTTAGCCCTTTTTTGCATTTAGCCAACATTTTACTACATTTAGCTTTTACCAACCTTTTTGTTACTTTTAGCTTTATGTTGCCATTTTGCCACTTTTAGCTTTTAGCTAATATTTTGCTTATTTAACTTTTACCAAATCTTGTGCTACTTTTTGCTGTTAACAACCTTTTGTTACGTTTAGTTTTATGTCAACAGTTGCCCCTTTTAACTTTTAGCAAGTCTTCTGCTACTTTTTGCTTTTTAATCTGTTTTTTTTTTCATTCAGCCAGGCCTTTTACAACATTCAGCTTTTAGAAACCATGTTGTTACTTTTAGCTTTCAGCCAATATTTTCCTTTAAATTCTACTTGATGCTTTGAACCATCATTTTCTTAGTTTTAGCTTCGAGCTAGGCTTTTTATGCTTTTAGCTGGGTAGTACTACTTGACTTAAATGTTATGATAACTTTAAGTAGAAATGTGCAACTTTTGGGCTTTTATCTAGTGTTTTGATTCACTTTGTAAAGTTAGCATCGGTTTTTGATTTAGCTTTTCCCACACATGCTCTGTCTGCTCAAAAATAGGTAAATTAATTTTGATTTTCAGATCAAATTAAATTAAATTAATTTTATTTTCAGAGTCCAGCTTGCACTTTATTGATTTGGTTTTGAACCGGTACTGACTTTTTGGTTTTGAGGTTTCTGCTTGTCAAACTGATGTCTTTTCAGCGTTTTGTTTTAGATCTCTTCGGTTTCCACGCAGAGGAATCTAAATTATGCAGCTTCTGTTTTTGTTGGACATTCCCACGAGTCTTTTTAATAAAGTGGACATGATGTAGCTGTGTCAGCTCGTAGTTTGTTTCCCATGTGTCCTACAAGCCTGGACTGATTATCTTATTTTAACACACGGTTCATCCATGAAGGTTAAAAACATTTCATCTAATTTAACTCAAGCTTGTCTCAGCAGACTTGTGACAAAATCTAGGGATTCTTTAAATGTCTGACACCAGGTGGCAGCGTTGTCTTGTTGTTTGATCGTCCTCTTTTCCTTCTGATGTTGGAAATTCATGTTGCCACAGCAGCTGCTTGGTGTGGAAAGAAAATCCACCCGTGCTGTGAACTAATAGCCTACTTTCATTGCTAAAGGCCTAATCTGAAGCTCGCAGAATCTGTTGAGTGAGTTAGTTTTGAAGCTGCAGCWCTGTGAACGTCAGCTCTTCTTGTAATCTTTTGAAGTGGTCTTGATCAATAGTTCTCCAGACGTCCTGAAAGATTTTTCTTTGGACTTTAGCTGCTTTTTTACTCATTTTCAGCTAATCTGAAGTTTTTTTTTTAGGAATGTGACTCTTTCAGGCATTAAAAAAGTGTTTTATTTTTCCAAACAGAACAGAAAACTTAAAAAGTAAGTGGTTTAAACTTTGATGTTTCGATCTTTGTTATCAGCAGCAGTTCTTTATCTGAATCGATGGAAGGTACCAAAGATGACGCTTTGATGGATGTTAAACAAACTCTTTGTTTTTGTAAAAGAACAGTTTAAACACAGAGGAATCGGTGTATTTCACCACAATGACCTCTAGTGGTGGTATATTTTTATTTTTTAAAGACTCAGTCCATTATTGTCTACTATACAGAACACTGAGCAGCATTAGAGACACAGTGTCAATCTCAGAAATGTTTCTGTTTTAATTTCTTACAWATATTCACACATCATTATTCATCCGTCCATCTTCTTCCTCTTATCCGGGCTCGGGTCTCGGGGGCAGCAGCCTAAGCAGAGAGACCCAGACTTCCCACTCTCCACCCACGTGGGCCAGCTCCTCTGGGGGAATCCCAAGGCGTTCCCAGGCTGAGAAACATAGTCCCTCCAGTGTGTCCTGGGTCTTCCTCTGGGYCTCCTCCCAGTGGGACGTGCCTGGAACACCTCACCAGGGAGGCGTCCAGGAGGCATCCTAACCAGATGATCCACCTCAACTGGCTCCTCTCTACGTGGAGGAGCAGCGACTCTACTCTGAGTCCCTCCTGGATGACTGAGCCTCTCACCCTATCTCTAAGGGAGAGCCCACCTGCAGAGGAAACTCATTTCAGCTGCTTGTATCTGTGATCTTGTTCTTTCAGTCTCTACCCAAAGCTCATGACCATAGATGAGGGTAGGATTAGGAACGTAGACCGACCGATAAATGGAGAGCTGAGTCAGAACCGCCTGTCGATCTCCCGCTCCGTTCTTCCCCCATTCATGAATAAGACCCTGAGATAAACTCCTCCACTTGGGACAGGACCTCTTCCCTGCTCTACCCTTTTCCGGCTCAAGACCATGGGGCACTGATCCTCATCCCGGCGACTTCACACTCAGCTGCGAACAGCTCCAGTGAGAGCTGCAGATCAGGATCTGATGAAAGCCAATAGGATCACATCATCCGCAAAAAGCAGAGACGTGATCCTGAGGTTACCGGAATGGATCCCCTCAACACCTCGGCTGCTTCTAGAAATTCTGTCCACTGCAAATGTGCTCAACTTAACCGCCAGGAATGCRAACCAAACTCTGACACCGGTAGTACAGGGACCAGCCCGTATTAAAGGGTTATTCAAACTGTAATTTAACTTGGTGCAACGTATGGCAGTTTCCAACAAGAAACTGCTAATTTAAAGCAWATCTGTTGCATTTTTATTAGTTTCTGGAGGGGAATAGATGGACACATTGATTTTCCACTTGATCACCTTTGTGCTTTAAAAAGAGGGTGAACAAGAAGACTGTATTAACTGGATGCCACTCAAACTTTAAAGCATGGGAGGTCGTGTTCAAATGGTAATTAATCAAAACGTGTTTTTTTCCAATAACCAGTTCAGTACAGAGTTGCAGAGGACTCTAAATAAAACGATCAGACAGTAATCACTGGATGAACATCGACAAGTATTAGAGTCTAAYCAATTCAAGATGGTCGCTGAGGCTAAACAATCCCCAAATGACTGTAAGTCTGTTATGTGTCGAAGACGGAACCACCAGAAACCGTGGACCAAAAACCATAATTTATGAAGGTGCCGGAGAACATGTTACATTTTCTAGTAAAAGGTTTTGATCGATGCTCAGGAAAACATTAGCTTTCGTTAACAGTGATGTTTTTTTAGGGACCGGTGGTACCGAGTGAAAGGTTGGGAGGACAGRATGGAGGCTGAATCCAGAGGGAGACCTGCTAACAAGACCAAACAGTGTGACAGCAACCTGACAGGTGAGAGCCAGAAGCAGGTATTCACCTCTCACTGCTCCACACATCCTTTTTACTTTGGGGAAAACCGGAGCTGTGGCACAGAACGTTGTTGATTMTGGCAGCAGAATCAAAAGGGTTCTGTTAGAAAACACACCAGCAGGATTTGAATTCCTGCAATAAACAATTGCTATATATTTATATTACTAATAAATATGTGGTAAAATTTTATATATATGTACTAGCCTGGGCGCTAAAACCATATCAC